ATTTAAAGTCAATAATTTATGCACATTTACTTTATCAAGGTAATTTGATTATACACTGGGCTGCTTATGAATATTTCTTGAGAAGATGTTTTATGACGTAATACTGCAAATAGTTGATTATTTCATGATAGTATGTATTTTATTAGAAAAATTGAGGCATTAAAGAATTAGATCATATTTATTGGAATAGCTGTTTACTTATCAAATTAGTTCCACACGTTAAAGTCTTTCAAACCCTTTGGTCAATTTTTTGGACAGGATTACCCATAGCCATCTAAATAGAAATTACAAAAAATCCCTGATCATATAAAACAAAGGAAACTATAATTGTAGATGTTAAACTTATTGAAAACTTGGAAAAAAAGCAGGAATTTCTTTTGCTTTTATCTACCTGTAATTTCTAGTGAAAGTGATGGAAAATAATTATCATTTCGGATTTATAGCGAATTTTTATATAACACTTAAAACAAAATGTTTTATGCAGAATTTCCTATAACCTTATAGCTTCTCTATAATAAGGGTTTATGGCTTAGAATTCATATATTATGAAGCTCTTAAGGAATAAGTTAAATTTGTTCGAATTATATATGCTACTGGAGTTGGAAAAGTCTACAGATTAATGGATTCCGCTTTCAGGTGGACGAGGAAGTGCTTCGAGCTGGAAAGGTGAAGGCTAACAAGGAGAAGTAAGTTTTTAGCTGTATTATATATTCCTTATTGCTCTGTCTTTTATTCCACATTGATCCCAGAGACAAAAAAAAATGTCAACTTTTTCTATGGCAACGTTTCAAATCTCAAAACTCAACATCAAAATATTATGTGGTTTAAGATACTAAAGTTTAGAACCACTAGCTATATGATTTACGTGATTCAACGTTTAGCACTAAGTTTATAGTAAAACATGCGTATCTTACTTGTAGTCCCCTCATTGTAATTGATTATGTTTTGCAGCTCTATACAACACCACTATAAAACCTAATGCTGTTTAATCTTCCTTTCCAAAAAAAAAACATGCTACGTACATTCTCGTTTTCTCAACGCAAAAAAAGTGAGACCTTCGTAAAATTGTGTCCGTACAACGAAATTGCAGTTCTAATCGCTTTCGTGGTCTTCGTTAATACTTGTTTTTTTCACTGGAATGTGTCTAGATTCTTGACTGGAGAAATGGAAGAAGAAAGCGAAGAAGATGAAGAGGGCGAACGAGATCCAAACATTATTCGTGAAAATAAGAAGAAGAAGAAGGAAGAGCTGCACTTTGCTCAGGTGATTTTGCTAATCAAGGTCATTTAAAACTTCCTTACAACCAGAATTACGCAATATAATCAAATAGATAGACTTTTGGATCCAAGTACAGGGTGATAATGATTTTTACATACTGAAGTGTCACGAATAGCTATCCTAACTGAATTATCCGGAAAAAAAGGCTTGTGTAAGCAAAGATTTATGAAAGATCATCCCCTATAAAATGAATTCGAGGTGACTTTCTTTTTCTATGTTTTCAACACCTTACTGTGAAAACGCAAAGTGGAGATTAGGTATTTAAGAAAGGACTCATTTCAACAAGCAAAAGCTTTGCAGTGAATCTGTAAAGTACAAAAATAGAGGCACTCTGGTATTTGCAATATTAAACTTCTTATGTCTCGCTACAAGTAGCACTTGGCATAAACGTAATTTCTGAAAAAAATTCAAGCCTTATAGACGATTTACAAGCAAATTACATCACAAACGACTCTTTTGCTTCCACTCCAGCTTACGGAGTTATAAGATGCGATAATTGTGTCAAGGCAGTGGCATGTTGCATCTTTTTATTTTGCCCGATAATATTCTGAAAAGGATATTTTTAGGTTGGTGACCTGAA